ACAGGAGGATATTGCGCCTCCTTCTCCGGCAGAGCGTCTGGTGGATTCGAACCGTGTTCCTCTGGGATTGCAGTGCAGCTTCTTGCCACTAGGCCACCAGAGCTCCCCGCACAAAATGTTTTGTTTGCCCTTTTTGCTTCTACTTTTTTCCAGGGAAGCCACAAAAGAATGTTGATGCCGCTCTTCCTGTTCTCCATCATGGCGCAGGATCAAGGCAAAAAAGAGAACCCCATGCGGGAGCTGCGCATCCACAAGCTCTGCCTCAACATCTGTGTAGGTGAGAGTGGAGACAGGCCACCAAGGTGTTGGAGCAGCTCACAGGCCAGACTCCTGTGTTCTCCAAAGCTAGATACACCGTCAGATCCTTTGGCATTAGGAGAAATTAAAAAATTGCTGTCCACTGCACAGTCCGAGTGGCCAAAGCAGAGGAAATCTTGGAGAAAGGTCTAAAAGTGCGGGAATACGAGTTAAGGAAAAATAACTTCTCAGATACTGGAAACTTCGGTTTTGGGATCCAGGAGCATATTGATCTTGGGATCAAATATGACCCCAGTATTGGTATCTACAGCCTGGACTTCTATGTGGTGCTGGGTAGGCCAGGTTTCAGCATCGCAGACAAGAAGCGCAGGACAGGCTGCATTGGGGCCAAACACAGAATCAGCAAAGAGGAGGCCATGCACTGGTTCCAGCAGAAGTATGATGGGATCATCCTTCCTGGCAAATAAATACCCGTTTCTATCCAAAAGGCCAATAAAATGTTTCCACGAAGTGTAAAAAAAAAAAAAAAAAGAATGTTAATGTCGAAAGAAAGAATATGTAAAATGTCTGGAGAGTCTTGTTGCAGTGTTGGAAGTTCAAAACAAGAAGCGTATAGAGGAACTTGAAACCCTGAAAGACATTTGCTCTCCCAAAACAGATTAGTAGAAATATTTAACTACAAACTGATTACTACATGGACAGTTGCTTTTGAAGGCAATACATTATATAGCTGGCAAGAATTATGGCTTCCCTCCCTCTTTGTATCATTCATCTTGTTCTCTAATCTCTAACATTCCTGAAATGCTTCACTGTGGTTAGTTGACCCTTAGCTGTAAAAATTTTTTTAAAGAGACAAACTGTAAAAAGAAAAAAATGTGACAAATTTCTTAAAATGCACTATTTGTAAGACTTCTTCCAATGCTACATGGTCGCAGTTTCCATCTCTATGTCCTAAACAGTATACTACGCAATAAAATATTTTGTACGTCTTTAAAATAAAATAAAAAAAAAAAGGGCAGGTTCTTCCCTTGGTATGTAAACTTTAGAACCAGAGTGGAAGGTTGCTAAGTTGCTATCACTTGATGGTACTGAACAGGAATTGAGCCAGAAGAACAAAACAAATCTGTCTTGGAAGTGCAAACCAAATGCTCCCCAAAAGCCAGGATGACTAGACTTCATTCACATAGTATGGACATATTTCAGGAGGTGTTAGACCCTGAAGAAGGGGATAATATTTGGTTAATTGGAAGGTCAGTTAAAAAAAAATTCTCAATGAGAAACATTGATAAAATGACTGCAAATATATGTTGCTCAAGCAGCAACAATTGCCAGAATGGTACAGGACCAAATAGTATTTTGTTTCGTTGTACACAGGGCTCACTGGTTGGGAAGTGGATCTAAAGGGTCTTTCACTTACCAACTTGGAAGAGAGTCATTGGTCTCAGCAGTTTTTTAATAGATTCAACGGCATCAAATAACATGAAGCCTGTCTAGATACATTGCCACTGCTTGATTTATCTTCCCTGTTTTAGAATGCGTATAAGACATAAAAGGTGCTCACACTGTTCACTATATTATTAGGGGGGTGGTTTGACTAGTTCTAAGTTTTTTGGTGGGTTTGTTTTGTATGTCAGCTCATTCCTTGACCAGTAAGAGAAAAATAATATGCAGAGAGCTGAGTGATCAGCCTCGCACATTATGTAACGAGTCAGAAATCGCGTTTGGGAGCCGGATTTGGGAGTTAGGAACAGAAAACAGTAACGTGCGCACCAAGTCCAAATGACTGCAAGAACATGCAGGGTCAGGCTGAAGGAAGCCGCGCAATGCACGACGGGATCTGTACGTGACGCTTCACTGCATGCCGGGGCTTGTGGTCTCACCCCGGCTCGACCGCTTTCGATCAATTCCATGTCAGACAAGATGCACTCTTGTTAGCACAGAACGACCAGTCTCTTTTCAGGAGAACAAGCCTTCAAGGAAAGCATTCTTCAGCGAGAAAAACACAATAGGGCAAAGATAAGGAAGAGCCACTAACTAGGACTGCGCGTGCGCAAAGCTTGGTTCCTATGTGCGCGCGCAGCGGCTCCTCCCCGGAAGCAGCTTCCTGCAGGCGAGTTTAGCCCCGTTAGGCCTGCGGGGAGCGCAGGCGCGGTGTCCCCTGGCCAAGATGGCGGCTCCCCGGGCCTCATGTTGGCTGCTGGTGGTTGTGGGGCCCTTCCGGCCGCTGGCTGCTACGGGGAGAGGGGCCCGGCCGCCCAGGGAGGGTGTAATGGCAGCGTCCCTGCGCCGCAGCCTGAGCGTCGCCGCCTTCACACCTCTCCTTGGAGCTCGGGTCCCGCGGGTGCTGCTGACATTGAGAAGTGGTGTTAGATTTCCAGGTGAGACAGAGTTCCAGCTCTGGAGAGAGCGTCTGAGAAACTCGGCCCTTTTAGGCGGTGAGGGCAGCAGAGTCGAAAGGTGTCCAGACTTGGGCGGTCACCGGCAAGCTCCTTGTGGCCTCTCCGTAGCGGAGAAGGGACGGAGAGCGGCGCGCGGCTGGCGGTCGCGACCTTTCACCTCTGTCCACTGACCTGTCGTCCTCTTCCAAGCCAGTCTCTGCACCTTTGCCCTTACCTGTTCCTACTCCTCCACTTCCCAGCCCTCAGCCGAAGAGGACAGGTTTTACAATTCTGCAGGTCCTTGCCTTGTTACTAGATCGCCCCCACCAAGTTTTGACGTTGTTTATTGTACTAAAATACCATCTCATAAAAAAAAAAAAAAAAAAATTATCACCTTGTTTTGTGCCATCGAGCTGGAAC